CTGAGAAATGAATCCAAAGACCTACAACCCACTGATATCTGGCATAACAGACAAAAACATAACCTGAGGAAAGGATACCCTATTCAACAAATGGTGCTGGGAAAACTGGATAGCAACCTTGGTCCCTTTCTCTCTCCATATGCAAAAAATTAACATTTAAAGTCTTAAATGTCAGTCCTGAAACCATGAAAACCCAGGAAAAACTCTTTTGGACATCAGCCCAGGCAAATAATTTATGGCAAAAATCCCAAAAGTCAATGCAACAAAAACAAAAATAAATAAGTGGGGCTTAATTAAACTAAACTAAAAAGCTTCTGCACAGCAAAAGAAATAATCAACAGAGCAAATAGACAACCTACAGAATTGAAGTTATTCACAGACTATATATCTGACAAGTGAATAATATCCAAAATCTACAAAGAACTCAAGCAAATTAGCAGGAAAAAACACAATAAACCTGTTAAATAGTTGGCAAACGACATGAACAGACATCTCTCAAAAGAAGATAAACAAATGGTCAACAAACATGAAAAAATGCTCAATATCACTATTCATCAGGGAAATGCAAATTAAAACCAAATGAGATTCTACCTTATAACTTTCAGAATGATCACTGTTAAAAAAAAATCTAAAAACAATAGAGGCTGACACAGATGTGGTTAAAAAAAGGAAACACTTATACACTGTTGGTGGGAGTGTACATTAGTATAACCTCTATGGAAATTGATATAGATATTTCTCAAAGAACTAAAAGTAGACTTACTATTTGGTCCAGCAATCCCACTACTAGGTATTTCCCCAAAGGAACAGAGGTCGTTATATTAAAAAGACACCTGCACTCTCATGTTCACTGAAGCAAAATTCACAATTGTTAAGATGTGGGATCAGCCTAAATATCCATCAACAAATTAGCAGATAGTGAAAATGTGGTACATATACACTATGGAATAATATTAGCTACAGAAAAAGAATGCAATCATGTCTTTTGCAGCAACTTGGATGGAATTGGAGAACATCATCCTAAGTGAACTAACTCAGGAAGAGAAAACCAAACACCACACGTTCTCACTGATAAGTGGGAGCTGAACTAAGAATCTGCAAAGGTACTGAGAATGGTATAAAGGAAATTAGAGGCTCAGAAGGTGGAGGGGGTAGAGGGAGAAAAAATCCCCTATAGGGTACAATGTGCACGGTGGGGGCATAGTGGGTATACTTAAAGCCACTAAACAGTGCAACTATGAAACCAAAATCTACTTGTACACCAAAGCCATGGAAATAAAGAAAAAAGAGAGAAAGCCAATGGCACCCCACCCGACCTTTCCTTCATGAACCAGAACATGTGCACTTTGTGTTCAAGCTGGCTTAAGTTGCATTTCTGTCACTTAAAACCAGCAAATAAAATATGCATGTGTAATGTTACAGTCAATACAAACAAATAATTAAGAATATTCTTCTGTGACAAAAGTTTTACATGTTTATTTGCTTATAATAATCTATATGCAGCACTTAACAAGATCCTTTATGTAGTAAATAGTGAAGAACTGTCTTTCTGTAAAGACTGATAAAATTAATTATGTTCAATTTGACATTTATCCCCTCAGAACAGATAACTGCAAAGACACTTGTAGAGAGTTTAATCAGCAATTTGAAAAACCAGATTTGCGACAATTTATACATTGTAATGTTCAAATCTCTTAAGCTTTTTCATAAGCAGTGAGCACAAAACTTAAGAGTAAAAGCACGCAGTGAATGTTCAGTGACTAAATGCCCGAGTACTCTTTATCTCCAATCTTTGTGGAAACAATCAGAGCAACCTAAAAGAATCAACAGTTATTTTCCTCATCTAAACTGCAGTCTTAATCCATGGATTTATACCATGGATACCTCACTGAAAACAAAACAAAACAAAAAAACATTTGCTGTGATTTTCATAAATAAAATAAAATTTTGAAGTCTTTACATGTATATATTTAATATTTCCTTCATCCTAATGTGTCAGTATAAAAAAAAATCATGTGGAGATTTGATTGTCCTAAAACTTGTTTAAGTGATTATTGACAATTCTATGGTCCTTAATATTTTCAAAATTCTGCAAAACATATGGTCATTATTCTGCCTCATCCTTACCTGCACATGGATGAGAATGTTCAGGTAGAAGCATCAGGCTGTTTCCCTAAACAAACATGACCAGGCTTTGTGACTTCAGGGAAACCACCTTAGCTTCCAGGGCAGGGTTTCTCAAACCCTATGCTAGAGACATCTTGGGTGGGATAATCTTTTGCTGTTGGGGAGTTTCCTCCTTTACAGGATGTTTTGCATCTTCCCTGAATTCCATCCACTGGTTGCCGCTAGCATCCCTCCTCAGTTGTGACAATCAAAAATGCCTCCAGACATTTCCAAATGTGCCCCAAATCGCCCCTGTTGAGAACCACAGGTCTTGAGAGAAATGATTGCATAAACAACTAAAAGATGAATATAAACGTAGGGTGTTTTACACCTTACCGATAAAATTTTCTTTTCTCTATGCAGTGAATATGATTTGTATCTTTTGTATCTTTTCCTTAAATTCGTACCTGTGTTGGAATAATCTTATTGATTCCCAAGTATTTTTCAATATTCGATGGCACTCATTTTTTAGAGAGGGCACAATCCTACTTCATCATAATACAAATTAACTGCTTGTTAAAAAAAAAAAAAACTGGTAAATAACTTTTGTCTCAAATTTTGATTCCCAATCATAGTGAAATATTAAGTAACACTATTTGACTTCATAAAGTGCTATTCTGCTGAAGATCACAACCTGATCTTTTACTCACATTATTTTTGTGAGGTAAGTCAGAGTGTAGGGCTACCTACACTTAAAGGAAATTCAGCATAAATCAAGGATCTACAGTGTGTCAGCAGCAAAACAGACATTGACAGACAACTTGCCAGGTTTCCTCCCATTAGTGTTTTTGTGATTCAAAATAACTAAGAGTAGCAGATGATTTAATTAACATTATAATAGATTAACATTTTCCACCCTATTTGATTTTAATACCAAAACTTAGAAATAAGATAAATAATTTTAAATTAATAATAATATTACTTTACTTTCTTAGGAGTTTTATCTGGTACTCTTAAATGTTTTAAAAAGTAAAACACTGATAGTTCCAAGTGTCACAAAAATATACTTTGTCTAAAGGAAAGTAAACAAAAATGGAAACATCATATTTCTCATTAAGAATACATTGCATAAACCCTTGGCAGTCAGGTAAAAGAAAAAACTAAATAATCTAATTCTGATTTTCAAATCTGAAACATTTTACACCTATTTACATTTTAAATGATTAAATAAGTAACAATATTCGAATCACACTTCCATAAAAAAAAAAGAATATATTTTTCTACTTATTATAGCAATGCCGAAAGAGTCACAAAAAGTTGGTGTTTGCTTATAAAATTTAGTGATTAAAAATAAATCTATTCACACCGTGTAGTGTCTCAGCTTGTAATCCCAGCACTTTGGGAGGCTGAGGTGAGAGGATTGCCTAAGCCCAGGGGTTTGAGACCAGCCTGGAAAACTTGGTGAGACCTTGTCTCTACAGTAAATCACAAAAAGTAGCTGACCCTGGTGGTGGGCATCTGTAGTTCCTGCTATTTGGAAGGCTGAGGTGGAAGGATCGCCTAAGCCCAGGTCGAGGATGCAGTGGCTGTGAGCATGCCACTGCACTCCTCCAGCCTGGGCGACAAGAGTGAGACTCCAACTCAAAAAAAAGAAAAGAAAAGAAAAGAAATATATGAATACATAGTTAATTCAAAGGTTACATAAATTTCTTTGCTTGAGATAAATACTACTTCCTATTTTTTTATTTCTTAATGTTGTCAGCAACCTCTAAATGTATAGGCCATAGTCACCTCCATAGTATGGATCAGAAAATAAGAGTAGAATTATAAAAATGTTTGTGTGTATCTAAATATTTCCCTTACCTTTATAAAACTGAAAAGTTAAAAATAAAACTTTTAAAGAGTATCTATTGTAGGAGCTGTAGAAAAAATAAATTATTGATGGAATCTTATAACCAAACTCTTAGGTAGGAACACAGCAACGTAGACAGCTATGCAACTGTGACACTACCTGAAATTTTAAAACATGGAACAAAGCATATGTTTAGTAAGTCTAGAACTTAAAAAAAAAAAAAGTAGTAGTCTCCTATATAATTTAGCTCTTTACCTGAATGAATACAGTAGAATTTTGAACTTTCTAAGCATATGTACCTTTAAATTTGATTACAAATAAGCTGACGTTCAAAAGTTCAACTTAATAGTATTACATGCAGTCATCTAACTCCATGGAGGTTATTTAATAATATAATGTTCTTGGATCATCAGATCCAGAAATACCAATATCGAGTATACGTTAGTACCAGGCTCTAAGGAGTTTATAACTTATAGGCCGGGACCTGCTGAACCAGGATTTGGGGCGGACTGACTCATTCTGTGTATGAGTCTGCAGACAGACCCAAGGGCATAGCAACCTGCAGAAAATCAGGAAGGTGAGCACAGGTGAAGTGTGCAACAAAACCAACACTGGTGGGTCATAGACCAGGAGCGCAGGTAGAACTGTCACCTAAGAAAGGAAACACAAGCAGCCAGAGGCCAAAAGCCTCAGAAGACAAGGAAAAAAGCACAAGAATAAATGCATAACACCAAGAAGACTTTGATTTTTGCATCCACTTTCTTCCCCAGACAGGATGCTTCTTGATGACCACTTTCCTGAGCCGGAATTTGTCTCAAGTTCAGTATGTGCCCTGGGCTGACAGGAGGATAAGAAGCAAAGATCTAAGCAACACAGAAGATCGGCTCCATGAAGAATACAGTACAAGGTAGGAAGGAGGAAAACTCTTTCAATACTAATTATGATTTTGGCAAACCCCCAAATTGATACACTAGCTTAAAAGGCATGGGAAATGTTTTCACTACTGACCATATTAAGAATATACCTTTGACCATCCTGTGTGTGTGCACATGTGTGTATTAGCCTTCCAGCTCACACGCAGACATAACTTTCACACCTACAGCTTCACTGCAACAAAAGAGATAGGGAAAGGTGGTGCCAAGACTCTTAACTCCAGAGTGATGTCAATTTGTGATGTAGTAAGTGAAGAAAGTCAGGACTTGGTTTTAACAAAAAGTTATCCCCCAAAACACTCAAGGTTGACCCCCTGAAAAATCTAAGCCTCATCCACTTCTAGAAAACACACAAAATTGAGACACTTTCAAGGTCATCTAGTGTCAGAACTGCATCACAAGCGAGTTCCACTGAGCTTGCCGCTGTGATCTGGGAAGTTCAATTCAATATGGTTGAAAGCCGGGTTATCAGTTCCACCATCTTCCACCGGATGCGACTTATAGCTTAAAGCATGCTTCTTCTGAAAGAAAGTGTTAACATGGTTAGAAAAAGAGAAACTGTTCAAGCATTTAATTATAAATAATTGTTACTGTTTTTGTATTTCTCTAAACCAGCTCTGTGGCCTACTGAGGGAGAGAGATACGACAGGCACAGCTCCTCAGAGAATGGAGAGCATACCACGGATACATGTCATTAATGCATTAGGGTCTACACCTCCCTTGTCCATCAAGGTTCAGGAAAACAGCTGAGGATTAACTAGTGTTCTATCCAGGTAATAAAGCCTACTTTCCTAATTTAAGGTAAATAAAAAGCAACTCACTTTCTTTAAAAAGTCAAAATTGGATAAGAAGTCATCTTTGGTTAGTAGGAATTTGGGGTCTATGTTCTGTTTTCTTCCACCTGAAAAAAGAATACATTATTTACATTGTCGAAAAGATACCTATGATTGCACAGTGACATTCCATGATATAGTCATTTAACTTACACGCATTCAACTACACATTCATAAAACAAAAAGAAAGAGGAATGCTTACATAGCTCTGAAAACTTAGCCCATGAGAGGAAGCTCTTAGACACCAGCCAACTGTCTAATCTCAACTAAAGAACAGTCATCTGGCCAATGCTGGTAGGAAAACTGGTCTAAAAGCATCCTCCATGCCACCAACAAAGTATCAAGCCTCTGCCTCTGCTTCAAATACTCGAGCTGCTTTTCCCCAGTTTGGTGGCTACAAATCTACTTGTCTATGAAGAAATGCAGGAGATTATGAACTACTGAAAACATTATTTAAATGAAAATAATATGCTGACTGAGATTTGATCCAAATCCTCTTCCCTAAGGTTTTGCTGTACAAAAAAAAAAAAAAGATCTTTTGGTTTGATATTTTATTTGTAATTCAAAGAGAATGCTTTTAAAAATCATATATCTCAAAGACTGGTCCTCAAATCATCTCTACACAAATCATTTGCGAGAGGTCCTTAAGACACAGAACTTCTGGACGCCAGCTTGAAATGACCAAGTTAGAACCTCTACAGGTAGGGCCGCTGAATGCCGATTTGCATCAAATTTTCCAGGTGATCCTTATGCCCTCTGAAGTGTGAGGACTGCCACTTTAGTACAAATACTAGACTTTTTAAGTATAGGGACCTCTGCTGTTCTGGAGATAGAATCCTTCCTAAATTAATTCATCCAGTAGTACTGAGTGCCTACTGTGTGCTAGAGACTGTCAGACACTGGAGACAGAGAGAGGAATAAAATAATCACTGGCCCCACGGCTCATGGTCTACTTGGGAAAACAGTCATCCCATTTCACAATGAGGAAACAGACTCCTCGTGCATAGAAAAGCATCAGGTGGGGGCTGAAATGCCAACCAAGCCTGTGTAGCCTGAATTCTTACGGGGTTTCTAGTGCATTATAGTAGGCTTTAAAGTATATTTCCCAAGAAACATCAGAAGTATATATTTCTAGATTTTTTCCAAGGTGCTCACTGCTGCTGAGGTGTAGGAATGAGTCATTTATGAGGTGAATGAAGTTGAAGTGTTTTTTATTGCTGGATGCCACTCACCTGGGTTACTTTTTAAAACAAAAGATATAGCTATGTATGGTTCTCAGAATCAAAGCATTGGGGAGGGGGGACACTCAAGGAAGCACTCTGACACGTCACTTTCTTTAAAAAGATGAGTTGAACAAGAACCAAAATATCATAGTGTAAGGAGACTCGGTTAGTGGATTTCAGATCTGAACAACTGGGTAGCTGGTGAGAAAAGTCTAAAATCAGCCGGGCTCGGTGGCTCAGCCTGTAATCCCATCGCTTTGGGAGGCTGAGGTGAGTGGATTTGCCTGAGCCCATGGGTTCGAGACCCGCCTGGGCAACTTGGCGAGACCTCATCTCTACAATAAATTAAAAAAAAAAAAAAAAATTAGCCGGGTATGGTAGCACGCGTCTGTAGTTCCAGCTACTCGGAAGGCTGAGGGGGAAGGATCACTGGAGCCCAGCA